GACTCCCACAGATCTTTCGCTGTCTTATATGATGAATAAACATCATACAGAGAGTCATCTAGAGCATTCAGAATGTAGTTCCTGCATAGAAATTCACTGTGAGTCCAGGCTTCTATAGCCTGCAGAATTTCGGCAGGAATGTCTCCCTCTTCTGGTGCTTTGGGGGACTCAGAAGTAATCACATGACTCAAGTTCAGAGTTGTTAAGTAGAACAACATCTTCTGTTGCCAACGTTTGAAATCAACTCCCTTGAACTTCTCAGGTTTCTCAACATGTTGCTTGACAACACCAACATTTGATTGATCCATAGTTTCTGTCTTAGATTGTTAAAACCAATCAAACGTTAAGCATATATTATACAACAATTTGCACAGTTTTATTACAAATGGTAAAACTCAACAACAAACACAATATATTAAAACATAAACACTTAGTGTAATTATATATAGAAACTCAAATCACTGACTTGTTCTTTGATGATAGAGGCTTGCAGAGCAATCTCCTAAGACAGAAACTCGTCCCTACACTTGTGCAGCAGTTCGTTGGACGTCTATCTTGCAGGATACAACTATCTAATCCAAGTTCTTGCACTCGAACTTGGATTCTTTGCGAATTGGTTGTGTGGTTCTCAGCGAAATATGAAGGAATGAATCTGGAAAACTTAAATTCTGGTTTCTGAGTTTTATTGCCATATATATAATGGCATCAGTTGAACTTCTCCAACCGTTCATTCTTATCAAGTTTTTGTAAAAAGAAAACTGAATGCAACCTTTCACAAAAACTGATCATAACTGTCAAAAACCGAATCCAAAAAATCAAAAACGTAACTTGTGTTTTTCGTCCATCCGAGCCCAAGAGCCCCAAGGCCCAAGGCCCATCTTTGACATTTAATATATACACCCAAACTCTCCAATTCTAAGGCCCAAGGTCCATGGCTTTGGCCCAATTCTTTTCAAACTATAAGTGAGTGAACTCACTTATAAAGACTTAATGAGAAACATGTTTGGGCGATGTGGGACTCCAAGTCCCACAGAAAACACAGTTCCAACAAGAAGAACAGAAAAACTAACACAGATTGACAAATCTAATTATTATAAAAACAATTTCTTATACAATGTGGTCGTTGGGTTTGGTATGTAGGGCATAAAACTAATTATAATATAAGTTCTCCATATTGGAGTACTTTTTTTTTTTAACAGAAGCGAGAGTATTTTATTACAAGTAACAATCAACTATAAGATTTGTTAGATGGGTATATTTTTTCATAAATTAATTATAATATTAGTTCTCCATATTGGAGTACTTTTTTTTTATTTTAACAAAAGCGAGAGTATTTTATTACAAGTAACAATCAACTATAAGATTTGTCAAATGTGTACATTTTTTCAATGATCAATTTTTTGATCTAGAGATGATTCACACAAGAAAACAAAACATTTTAAACTCCTATATGGCCACCATGAAAGACCACTAGAACTAAGAGGAGTTTCAACATAAATCTGCCTCAAAAACGGCTGATGCAACAAACCTAGAACAAGTGCCTCACATAAAGCCACTGCAAACAACGAGGCCACACAAATTGCCGAAGCAACACAAACAAATCGACCAAGCGACACTTAATCTACTAGCCTAATCCACTCTAACAGCTACAAACAAAACATAATAACAAATTACAAATAAAAGATTAAAGCCGATAAACGTCCACAATTTTGACAAGGACAGCATAGGCGTGGGTGACCCAAGCCAGAACCCCTGTCGTTGCGGCCGTCGACCACCACGAAACCAAAGCAACCTTCATAAAATCGTCACGTTAGCATCAGAAGCCACTGAAGTCGTGTGGGTCGCAGCTTCGCGAGGACCGCAAGCGTTGGCATCCTTGAAAGTAGAAAGATCATTATCAACTAAATTCTAATATGTTGCTACTTAGTACTACGGTCTGGTGGTATTCCTCTTCGCTTATAAGTAAGAAGTCTTAGATTCAATTCTCGACAAAGACGAAATTGAACTACACTATTGAAATCTATTATGAGGCTAAACCCACCATCTTCTCCTTATTAGAATATGTTGTGGTCAGATGCATAAAGCATTTTCTTAATTATATAAAAATACTAAAATGAAAATTAATATCTGAAAAATACCATCTCATGCATGTACATTTTTACATTAAGCGACTAGATTCGTATGACGTAATTATTTACTTTTTATATAATAAAAAAATTTCGAAGATTTAATACATACCACACGTATGCGCCCTTTAAATCGGGGTCCTCTAAAAAAATCAAATCCATTATCTTCACTAATACTTTGGGAAAAAAAAAATATCTTCATTAATACGAGGAAAAGTCAGCACACTATTTTATAAGGTCCCTTCATCTTTCTCAACTCTGAACCATGATTTAGATCTATAAGTATTGGGCTCTATCTTGAATCAAGGCCTAACCCACACAGCCCACTGTCGATTCGGTTTACCTAAAAAATTGGGTGAAATGTGGAACGATTCACGTCGGAACAAGGGTGTTTTACACACCCCCTTCGCCCTCCCCCTATTACGTTTGATGACTTTTCTTGCAGGTGTGGCTATGGTGGCTTTGGCTCTTGGTGGATTGATTTTGTGCAATACTTTCAGATGTGGGTTTGGTTCGTTTGCATTTTTCTGTTTGGTGCGATGTCTTTCTTCGCGGAGGTAACAGCGAATGTGGCAGTGGTGACCGGTTTTTGGCTTCGGGATTTTAGGGTCTTTACTATTTGTTGTTTCTTTTGTAGCCAACGGGCCTAAATCAGTGTGGGCCTCTCTTTGTAGTTGAAGTTGTAGCTCTCATTGTTTGGGCTTGTACTTTGTTTAGGTTTAGACCTTTCTAGCACAAATTGTATCTTCCTTTCATTAATGAAGCTTCATTTTCGACCAAAAAAAAATCAATGAATTTCTCTATATGAATAATTATACAACTTCCTTCTTACAATATGCATACGAGTTCAGCTCATGATAGTAAAACTTTTGTATGTGTCTGTATATAATGTTCGTATAGCTTGGGTTACAGACTGGAAGTATATATGAATTGAACAGACTCCACGTTGGTTCTTCATTACTTTTTTAAGGCTCCTAATGCAATTGTTTGGTTTCTTATGATGGATTAGAACAAATCATCTTTGGCAACTTCGCCATATATGATTTATTTGTACACACATATATAAGAAGGCAATCAAGTCGCAAATGCTTTAGCTTCATTCTGGGTGAAGAGTTATGCTTGTCATTGGTGGTCTACAATTTCGTCATTTGTTGCTTCTACTCATACTCGTGACATTTCGTTTTGTCCTTAATATCGTTTTTGTTGATACTTCTCTTTGTGGGTTTTGGCTTGGTCCCCCCACTTGTATCTTTTCTTTTATTATTTCTTCTTTTCTATTAATAAAATTGTATAAGCGTTGAGGAGAGACGGGTGGGGGTTTCGGGATGTAGTAGTCCTCTTCCCCTCAGCTAAAGGATAGATGTCTTGCACGCGATAATTGCCGAAGAGCTAATCTCGCATAATCTTTCTCTACTTAAAATTTAATTTTAACCAATTACTCCCCACCCACCCCCCACCAAAAAAAAAAAAACTTTTATAGTTGGCCAATTTCCCCACTTTCCCACTGGCGTCAGATTTTGGAATTTTTCATTCAATTTTCCATCTATCTTGGCCAGGTGCATGACATGTGGCAATTGTTTAGGGGCCAAAAGGTAATTTTATGGTTAATGTGGACAATATCTTTTTTTTTTATTCTTCTTCTCTTCCTCTAGTTCACTCTACGCACTTTGTTTTAATTTTATCTCTAATGTAGACAACTATGAATCTTCTCCATTGTCTTGTTTTTTTAGCAAAATGTTGTGCATTTCGTTATCCTTCCTTGTGACTTGATTCACATGAGCTCTTGGTTTACATATTTCAATTCAAGATTCAAATTCAAATAAGAAAAGTAATTACTCATCTCAACAGATTCATTCCTAGAAACTGGTCAATTATAAATGTTCACGGGGTAATCAACTAAAATTAAAGTTTAGGGAGGAAGCTGATCAATTCTAAAAGTTCGGAGGATAATCGGCTAAGATTAAAGTTCAGGAGGAAATTGGCAAGTTCTTACAAGTTCAAGGGAAAAATCCACGTTATAAATACAAAGTTAGTATGTGTATGTTAATTTTAATACATCTTACAATAGCAAGAAACATTTATGACTACATAAGCAGTCAACTGACAGATGGAGAAAATTTATAGTCCTCCTTTTCTCCTTGTATCCATTCCCCTTGCTATGTTGCAGTTGGGTTTTTCCATTCCTTTCTTCTTCTCCTATTTATGTCAGGAAATCATTTTCCTTTTGCTTTATTGCCTATAGAAAATTCTAGGTGAAAACTAAAAGTAAGCTTCTGTTAATGAGATAAATTTTGATAGAGCCGTTCTTAATAAAGGATGAGACTATCGTGGATTTGGGTGAACCAAAATATAAGTTTTATGCTTCTGTGAGATTTGTCGTGCATATAATCAACTTGATAAGGCTAACCCACTAAAAACTTTATCCTATTTGAGATGCTCATGCTTTTATCATAAAGTAGATTAATTAGGAGTCAAAATGACTAGAACTCCAAGTTTCTTTTGGGAAGCTTAAGTTTCTTTCTTCTTCTAACATGCATACCCAACACCTCTGACATTTACACAATCGACTGATACGTACATAACTATTGGTTAGTAATACTTGTTTCAATTTGAAGAAAGTTGAAGTTCTACCATAAAACTAATTAATAATATGAAAAATAGCCTAATTACTTATAACATGCATGCTTCTTTCTTTGATGTCGAATTCATACTCTCAACACAATTTTGTTAAAGGAGTTTTCAAGTTCAATTCCCCTCTTCCTCGAGATCAGGGACAAAGGAAAATAAACCTTATATGCACGGACAATGTACTCACCCGCCAAATACAATCCACATCCAACCCAGCTCAGAACTAAATAAAATTCGAACAATAAATAAAGAAGTCCAGCACAATATACTACAGGCATCAAACTGGATCCATGCCAAAACATTACAATTAAGGTTTGCACAGAGTATTTCTTTAATGTTCTTGTTTAGAGCAGCTAGTTGGGACAGGCTATAGTAATTAAAAACACATAAATTACAACCAAAGATGAATAATTAATAAATTTACTATGACAAAGCACTTGTGTTGTAGACAAGAAGAGCACCCCCTGCAAGAATGCCAATTAGGGTAACTGCCCAGATGGCCAATCCAGTAACACCTGCACTTTCATGCATATTAATTTATTAATTCGCTTTCATAAGCATTACTTAATTACTACATCTGGTCAAGCAAGAAGATAATGCAACTGTGCCTTCTGAATTCTTAAATTTAAGCATATTAAACAATATTCTTATGAAGTTGAAGTTGCTTACCCCCAGCATAGACATCACCACTTGGAGACCAGTCATTTTTGTCGTAAATGGGGCTGCATATCAATTATCAGAAATAACTTAACAGCCTAATTAATTTGAAAATTTATTCATTTTGAGAATGCGTAGACCGTTAGAGGGCATCAAGCAACTAAAAGGATACTCCTTGTCAAATAAAAATAGAAAATATAACAAAACAGAGAGATAGTTTCTTCTAATTGGGAGCTGTTATTAATAGTCTAATTAACGTTCTCACGTTATTACAAAATCCGAAATGCTTGATAACTAAATCGAAAACAACTTTTGAATCTAAAAACCATAGTCTGGGTTGCTTGGGTTTAGAAGCATCCATATATAATACTCTTTCATACCATAGGTAATATTATGGATGCTTCAAAAACATTGAAATAAGAGATAGGTTATCAAGTCAATCAATGATAATTTTAGCAAATATGATTTAGACATTTAAGTTTAACCCTTAAATTAGTAAAAAAGGACTCATACAAAAAAACTCAGTACCACGAAAAGTAGATAATCTAAATCCAAAAGTAAACTAAATAGAGCAGTGAGAATATTCCCACGTATATATATGGCACGAATGAAGTTTGAGAGTTGTACCTGTATCCATCAACATTAGCACCGTACTTGTCTACAAACTGGTAGACACCCTTTCCCTGAATCAAAGTTTAAGGGTTCAAAAATTACAAAGCAGATCGATTGAATATGCATGACGCTGATCAAAGAACAACAAGAAGGAACCTATATATTTCTGCAGATTGAAATGAACATGCATAGATACATATATATAGATTTCTATAAAGGGCATGTAAAGCCCTTAGGTTAGTCCAATTGCGCATGCGTAGCGAACGAAGGGAGTAATGAGTTAGGATTAGAGTAATAGATCACAGGTTCAACTTATTAACAAAAACAAAAGAAAAAACTACTCACTAATAAGTCTCTCATGCAAGCGCTTATATAGTTCATATTGACCTAGTACATGAACCGATGTGAAACACAATTTTAATGATTTTCTTTGTTTGATGTGAAGCACAGTACTTTAGCTATTAAGTAAATGGTAACAAAAATGAAAAGTAAGAAAGACAAATTAATTACCTTACCCTTCCTCCCGGAGGCATCGACACCATCCCTCAAGTCCATGCCGCCATTAATTCCTGCAACACATTTTTATTTTATGTATTATCAAAATCAATCCTAGCTAAGAAAAAGGCCCGTCTATGTAGTTCTATCGAACTTTTTGTTTTTATATTTTAATTGAGATATAGTTTGTTTTCTTCCATGAGATTTGAATTCAGAAAAACTAGATTATCATGCACATAGTGCTACCATAGGGGGTGGCAGTCCTGATCTTCTTGCCGCCACTTGCTTGCACCTTGAATGAAGCAGAAGACCTGGAAAGAGAGGGAAGGCCTCTCACTGCTGGCTTGTCAACAGTGAAAGGAGATGGTTTTAGGCTCACTGAAGAAGTCATGACTGAGGCTGCCATTTTTGCTTAAGCTTCTTTTCTCTGGACTCCTTTTTCTTTTGCTGATCGTATATATAGTGCGGCATCTAAGTCCCTGATAATAAAAACACTAACCATGGAGGAGAGTGGACACGTGGCAATGGTTCATTGGGTGGTTGTGGATATGATATTGCAAAACATTATCCAAAGGGGAATATTTTTGCCAAATTTTCTCCTCTTTGGATATATGCAAATCCAAGACCCCGTCTTTGAATCTGACGCGTGGACTAGGGCCAAATGGGAAAGAGATTTGTGGTTTGGAAGTTTCGGGATTGAACCTAGACGCCTCTTAATTACGGAAAAGGATGCTCGCCCGATCATTTTTCAAGGGATTCTAGGGATCTGATGATTTTGATTATTCATCGTATATCGTATGGTTAGAAAATTTTAAATTTTAAATTAAATATAAATAGTATTTAACGATTTCTGACCTAACGATATACGATGAACGGTCATAATCATTGGATCGCTAGGATTCCCAGAAATAGGATCCGATGAGGATCTTTTCCCTTAATTACAGTTATACTAATGACCTGTTTACTTTTAGGGAATTGTTATTAGCACTCCAAAAATCTTATTCTACACTCCAAACTTTCTATATTGGAAAAAAAAATACATTTGTAAGAAGTGTAGAATGAGATTTTTAGAGTGTCAGTACCACTTCTCTACTTTTATATGTATCTAATTCACTACATATATATATATAGGGTAAATTATATGTATATATAATGTCAAAAGGCAAAATCGGTGAAACATTCATAATTTTAAAATTGTTTCTCCCATTAAATTTTCAAATAAAATAAGAAATTCACAACAAAGAAAAAAAATATATATAGAGCCAATTGACACAGGCATGTGTGTGCCAACATGCTAGTTTACGTAGAACTTGAATTAGAACCATTTTGACTATTGAATTGCTTGTGTTTGTTAAAATATGAGGTAGTGAAATCATTTCAATTTATATTTCTCTATATATGTTTACTAACACATGAAATAAAATAAAAGTGTAATGTTTATCCTTAAAATTCGTAGTCTACGATTTTAAAATCAAGAATCAAATCAACTAGAGGAGACTACATGCTCTGATTCACTTTCTTTACTTCCTCTATACCTAACTACTTTGATTCCTTACTTCCCTATTACATGTTTTCAATTTCATGCTACATTTTAGTGGTAATCGAAAATCAAGCGAGAAATTACACTAAGGCCTAGTTTGGTACTGAGGTGATTCTGAAAAAAGCTGGTATAAAAAAAAGCTGGGAGCTGTTTTTGTGTTTGGTAAACATTCAGCTTCAGTTTTTTTTTCACAGTTTTGGGTGAAAAAAAACCAAAAACAAGAAGCTGCAAAACCCAGCTTTCAAAAATTGGCTTTTTTCACATCTTTTTTACATAAAAGTTTACCAAACACTATAATACTGCTTTTTTTTTTTTTTTCAAAAGCACTTTTACAAAAAAGTTTACCAAACACTCAGCTGCTTTATTTCACAGCTGCTCATTCTCACAGCACAGCAGAAACAGCTTTTTTTCAAAGCACAACAATACCAAACCAGTCCTAAAGAAGTGCAAATGAATTACCTCCAAATCAAAAAAAATATAATAAAGGAGTGCTAAATTGAGCTCAGAACAAAGAACTTGAAATGAAATGGAATTTCTTCATATATGGTTTATAACATCATAATTGATAGTGAATAATGAACAACACATTTGCTTATAAATTTGAGATTATTTTCTTAGTAGAGTCGAGCCAAGTTGTTACAGACTTCAGTACTAAGAACCAAATACAGAAGAAAAGAAAGCAAATTACTGGTTAAAATAATAACACTAATGATAATTATCATAAGCAGCTGAGGATCTCTGTGAGTTTTGAAGCAGCAGCTATTCCGCTAGCTATAGCACCTTCAACATTAGGACTAACACAGAAATCTCCACAGATGGCAAGCCTCTTGTTTTTATCCCAAAGGCATTTCTGGTCTCTGGCTACGCTTGCGGCTGGAAAAGCACTTCCCCTACAAACAAAATCCAACGGTATCACACAGCTTTAAAGCATTGCAGAGTATCAAGAATGAACTCAAATATATATAAATGATTTTAGACTGCATTTTGAGATTACACCTTCACCTAATTATTTCGGATCCCCAAACTAACAAGTATTTTCGTTCCTGTTGTGGACTTTAAACTAATATAACAGAAAGAAAAAAAATGAAATTTATGGAAACTTTGTTGCAAAGATTTTTCTAAATATCTAACCGTGCATTTCACAGATTGGCTTAGGCTTGGACAACATTCAAAGGGATCCTCATTGTGTGAAAAGACAGCTACATTATAAAAGAAATTTATCTGTGCGATTAAAACCAAGTACAAGAATGCACAAGAGGAAAGATTGTTCAGGCTGATTCAGCCTGAAAATCGAGGTAATTGACCTCGACTGCCTTTTCTGGCTTACTAATAAAACTTGGTCCCCATACTTCAAACAGTCCTTGTATTGCTGGCCAAAAAAGGTCCTTTTATTTATGTTTGTGATATGATTAGTATTAGACAACTAGCACTAAATATTGAGTTCTAGAATATACTGACCATCTATGAGCTTTCTTGAAAAAGGGGTGTGGAATATTAAGTCCCATGCTTTGAAATTCTTGGAATAGTTCTTCAGCCACTTTTGTCAATGTTGCATTCGAAAGTTTCTGAAGTCCAGTTTGAGCAATTACACTCTGAGCATACTCCATTGTTGAATGCAAAACCCATCGCTCGCTTAAAAAAGAAACAAATAAACGGAAGATAGCAAAATGATAAGGATAACGCCAACACCAAATAAAAATGACGAGGTGGATTGTTATATTCCATGAATACCTAGAGGCAGAACGGCCAGGCTTGCTGCTGTCGCAATGAGCCCAGCTTAAGACTTCAGAACCTTTTATTGAGAAACCTTTGAAGGGTATCTGAGTCAGAAATTAGGCACCAGGGTCAGCCCAGATCAAGATCAAATACAAGAAAAGAGAGTTCAAACTAAAAATGTGATACAAAAGGTTGCAGGAATACATGAAGCCAAACCTAGCATCCCGAGAAAAAGGAAAAGTTGAACCATGTAGAATTTGATGAATGCACGGTCTACAGATGACCATATAACTTTAAGGAGGCGTAACAAATATCTTACTGATGACACAGGCTCTGAAAATGCTATCATGAGAGCAAAGCATGGATGGACAGGAATATCATTTAACTTAACCGCCAACTCTGGAATTAAATTTAAATCTGCACACATCACAAATGGTTAGATCCACAATGCTATTATGCTATTCTTCAGAAAACAACGCGGTCAAGTTCCAATTAAGAGGTCAGACAATAGGAGGCTTTATTCAATGCAATGACACTTTGTAAGCATTCCAACTGTTGTTCAATGTGATGCATACTACTCAAGTTTCATTTCCTCCATAGCTAGAGTCCAAATGGTGAGAAGAAGGAAGGGATATGTAGTAAAAACAAGTATTTGCAGCTATGTCATGGTTGTAGTATCCACGTAAATATTAACCAAACAGGACAAGATCATCGATTTGACCCACCAATAGGACAAAGTATGCATAACATAAACCACTAACACTGGCAAGCTCACCAAGAACTGCCACTTAATAAAAGGAATAAATATTGCAGACAATTTTCTAGACATAGTTCAAATAAAAAGAACTTGAAGGAGTGAGTTCAATACCAAGAGGTGGTTGTCTTCCTGTAACACTTGTAAACCTGGGCGAAACTAGGTTTTTGTCTGTTGCAACCACTCCCTTAAACTGGCCAAGATTTTGCCCATCTAAACCTATCAATGACCACAAATTTTCATCCTCTAGCCACTCCAATTTCCCAACACTCGCCCCAAACTTACTTTCCACTCCTAAAGAAAATTATAACGCAAAGTAAGCAATTAGGGATAATGGAAGTAGATATTCAACCTTGAATGGAAATCATTCCAACAAAATCAGTAGTTTAGTACATACCGGGCTCCTGGCTTAATGCTCTGCATATAGAATTCATGCCTGGGATACCCACATATCTCTTACTTATTAATCCTTCCTAAATGAAATCGATATTCAGATTGGCTGAAATGACATTTCTTGACAATAAAATAGATGAGACAGATGGGACATTTGTTTAACAAAACTCAGCAGAAACAACAATAAGAAATTGAAATTTTTATTATAAGACTAATGATAACAGAAAAGAGCGACATAGAGGATAAAACATATCCAGAAATCCTTACGATTATAATTTGGAGCCAACTTAACACGACAATACTAGATAAACACATAAATGATGTAATCAAGATGAAGCATAGGTACTCATGACCCAACATATTTCACAAATGACATGTTTCCAGTCATTGCAAAACACGCTTGCTGATTAAAGCAGTACTTGCAAACCTGTTCGAGATCAAAAAATTTGTTGGAAATGCAATCAAAGAAGCCAAATTTCTCTTTCCAGCAAGCAACAAGACCCTTTGATTCCCATTCATGAACAAGACCGAGAACCTCGGTTTTGTTGGCATTGAAAAATGGAGCACCATGGTCAAACAATAGCTCCTTCTCATCTTCAACAACTTCTCTATATGAATTTGAAAAGGATACAATAAGTGAATTTGTGGTAAGAACCGGAAGAGAAAAGAAACTCATTTGTAACAACTCCTTCCCAAGTTATTTGAATTTCCAAATAACATTGAAATCAAAGGGCTTTCTTTCTTAATAAAATGGTAAATGTACTATCAATTTGTACAACCGATACGGCATTTCAAAATAGCAGTCGTATCAGTTTGAAAACAACTTGAATAATTTAGCAAAATCCTCTAACATTTCCCTAATCTTATACATTAAAACCTCGGTCTTTGTCTTTTGGACTTCTTCCAATCAACAAAGGGTCAACCAAATAATGAGAATTCAAAATATAATCTTATGCAGTGTGCCAAAATTTTCCCACTAACCAAACAAAGCATAATAAAGAAAAAAAACCCATTTCTGATAACCAATTGCACATTTAATCACCTTCTTTGAGACATGCGGCCGCCGGGGCCTCTGGCAGACTCGAACAAAGTTACAGACACTCCATTTCTGGCGAGAGTTGATGACACACTGCTCCTGAAACTGCAATAATCAAATCAGTGATCAGATAATATGATTTAATCACGAGATTAAACAAACAAAATACAAATCAAAAGGAAAAAGGAAAGTAAAAAATGGGTTCTGAATTTTGATGCTTTTACTTCCGCTTCCCACCACCGCAACTTTAGTGGTATTCATTGCTTCACTCCTGCTCAAAGTCTGCTCTGCTCTCTTTCCTTCCTTCCCACTGTTCGTTGCTTCACTTCCCGGCACATACTGAAAGGCAGTGGGTAGTTGGATCTCTACTATTAACTCAGCTTTCAGCGTTATTGTTGGACCATTACAGATTCAAGCTTGCTCTTAACGGGCCTCAATAATCGGCCCACGGTTCTACAAAAATGAAAGTATTCGGGTTGGGCACGGTACGGTTCGGTGTGGTTTCAAGTGAAACCGCAATCGAAACCGAAATTTTTTGCGGTATGGTTCGGTACGGTTTTGAAGCCAAAACAGAAATTAAAGCAAACCGTTTGGTTCGGTTCGATGCGGTTTCAAACGGCTTTGGTTTGGTTTTTGAGAAAAAAAATGTACAATTTAAAATATACACATATTTATGCATAAGATGATCTTATTTTTCTCATATATTAATTAATGAATATGCAGCAAAGCCAAAAATAGCAACAACAATGCAACAAAACTGCAACAACAAATAGTGGCAAAACTGCAAAAAAAGAGGAAACATAAAATCTGGCAGCATCTAGATGTCAATCTTCCTCAAATTAAGGGATTAAACTTAATAGAGAATCCCATGGAAAGAGGAAACATAAAATCTAGCAGCATCAGTCACGCCATATCGTCTAATATCCATATGCAGCATCAGTCACCCCATATCGTCTAATACTGCAGCAAAAAACAATAGCTAACATGTACCAAAACTGCAACAAATGACAACTACTAAATTGAGACAACATCCAATGCATCAATGGGTTTAAACTTTAAATCCTTATGCATCACATCTACTAAAATTCAACTTGATCACCAATCATAATACTTTACTACAACCCAATTGAAAAGTTAAGTTTGCCATAATACAACTAAAGTCCAAACTTCAAAGTTTCAAACAAAATTCAATGTCAAAATGCGTTATGGCATTAGTACAACAAAAAAAATAAATGGTTCATGGAATCCAACAAAGTCTTGGTTTCAACTTACATTGCATCGTTCAAGTTTCAAACATTTGCCTTTCTTTTTCCTTTTGGACGCTTATTCTTTGAAGGTTTAGGAGGCCTTTGAATCTTTGATTCAAACGAACCCTAACCCAATTCCCCTTTTGAATCTTCGATTCAAACGAACCTTAACTGTAAAATTAATTTAATTACAAATTATTAACTAAACTAACTAATACAAGTTCCAAGTTCTTACCATATTAGCTGGAACGAAGAGCAGGTGAATGATTTGCCAAGTTTGTTTTGCAGAGCTTTTGATTTGCAAAGTTCAGGGCTTGCAGATGGCAATGAGGTCGCAGAGATGCAAGCAGCCAGGTCGCACGTGGTGAGTTCAGGGCACTGATGTCAACTGTGGAAGAGATGAAGATGGGTTTTGACTTTTGAGAGAGAGATGAAGATGATTTTTAAGGAAAAGATGAAGATGAGTTTCAGCCTTCAGGGCTCGAAGTAAAAAATTGGATGATAGTCCAGTAACCTAGTTGAACTAATTAAAAGTTTAAAACATAACATGCGGTTTCGGTGTGGTTTTGAAAACCCAAAACCAAAACCAAACTGTTTTCTTTGTTGCGGTTTGGTTTTGAAACCAAAACCGTTTCAAAATCGCAAAACCAAACTATTAGGTGCGGTTCAATTCGACTCGTGTTTCGATTTCAGTTCCAAGTGCCCACCCCTAGAAAGTATAGATTTTTTTTCTTTCTTATTTTTTGTTATGATCCTTAGGACTTCATTTTATTCTCACCTTTTTTCGAGGAATTTTATGTAAAATTTTGTTATATGATGTATTGTGTTTCAATTACAAATATTGGAAAATTTTTTCCTATCATGTCTTGATTATAGAATTTGTTTATAGCTAAGATATGATTCACACTCTAACTCGTGAATACTCCTTATTCATGGGTTAGGGTGTGACATCAATAGACTTTTTTTTTGGGGTTCCTCGATGCTTTGATTTTGAATAGTGTGATGAGTTCCATTGGCTAGAGTATAATATAAAAAAAGGATGCAGCATATTGTATTAGTTGCTATCTATTTAGTTGCTATCTATTTAGTTGCAATTTTCAACAAAGAAGTAATGATGTCTTCGTTGGGAAAGGGTTCCAAAATTGGAAGAAATGATTAGAATTACTTAGGGGACATGAAGGATGTGTTTCTAGTATTCACAATAAAGCTAGCAAAAATGTTTGGATCTAATAAATTAAAAGCAACATATTGAAACAGTTTTGGTCAAGCACACCTACCAGAGCCATATTGACTATCGCATTATGTTGAATGCGGCAATTGATTGCACTAGATATTTATTGCGAGATCTTCCTTTTCGTGGGCTTGATGAAAAAGAAGTTTTGGATAATAGGAAGAACTATATAGAGCTCTTGCAATTTCTCTAGCATCATGATGAGAAAATTAAGGTTGTTGTCTTATAAAATGCTCCCGAGAAAGTTAGTTGCTCCTTCAATTCAAAATGACCTTGTTCATGGGTATGCCACTAAAACAATTGATGTTATCCTTTTGTGATATGAATGGTGCATTTTTTTTTTCTAGAATGGCTGATGAATTACATGATGTTTCAACCAAAGAGCAAATGGTGGTGATGTTTCGCTATGTAGATAAAAGACGAGAAGTAATTGGAAGGTTTGTGAGTGTTCAACATGTTACTGAGACTACCTCAATTGAGTTAAAGAAGTCCATAGATCAATTGCTTTCAAGAAACAAATTGAGTATTTCCATACTATGAGAGCAAGGTTACGGTGGAGCTAGTACAATAAAATATGAGTTCAGTGGTCTTAAATCAAGGATGCCAAGAGAAAATCCTTGTGCTTTTTATGTTCATATTTTTCATATCAACTTTAACTAGCTTTTGTTGCGGTGGCAAATGGAAATGTTGATATTGCCACTTTTTCACACTGACAAATAGTGTAGTTACTATTGTTGGAGCGTCTTGTAAGCATCGTGATCCAGTTAGGGGTCAACTACAAAAGGATCTTACAGAAGTTCTTGAAGACGATTGTCTTATAACAGAGTGACGCTTAAATCAAGAAACTAATCTTAAGCATATTGGTCTCACACGTTAGAACTCACATTATGGTACCTTGATTAGTATCATTTCCACGTTTGGTTTCGTGGTGAAAGTGTTTGAAATGATTCTTGATGATGATTCCATGGATAAACAGGAGAAGCAAATAGGTCATTAGGAGATACGCAATCTTTTGAATTTGTGTTTCACCTATTCTTAATGAAATCTATATTTGGGGCTACAAAAGATTTGTTACAAACGTTACAGAAGAGAGATCAAAAGATTATGAATCTAATGGCTTTAGTCAAGGTATGCAAGCAACAACTATAAAACATGAGAGATAATGTATTTTATCTTTTGCTTGATCAAGTGTCTTCATTTTGTGACAAATCATGATATTGAGATTTCTGGCATGGATGATGGATAAGTTACTTGAGGGAGATCATACATGGAGCTCAAAGAATCACAAACTTCCATCATTATCATGTAGAGCTCTTTATGGCTATCGTTGACAAGCAACTTGTGGAATCAAATAGTTGCTTTGATGAAGTAAACACATAATTGCTTCTTTGTTTGGCATGTTTGGTCCGGATGATTCATTCTCGGCTTTTGATGAACAAAAGCTAATTCGTTTTGATAATTTTATCTTAATGAATTTTCTACTTGTCAACCCTTGACACTTCAAGATCAACTTGGGCATTATATTTTTTTTATATGCGTTTGAGTGTTAAATTTTCTTAATTGAAAGGAATTAGTAGTCTTGCAAAAAAAAAAAAATGGTGGAGACAGGGAGGAATAGAGTATATAATCATATGTATTTGTTAATTACATTGGCTTTACTTCTACCGATTGCTACTGTGTTAGTGGAGAGAGCCTTTTCCGCATGAATACTGTGAATAGTCTATCGTGTAACCGAATGGGAGATCAATGGTTGGGTGATAGCATGGTGGTTTATATTGAGAGCAATATTTTTTTTCATTGATAATGAAGCTGAAACGCAATGTTTTCAAAATATGAAAGCGCATCGCGGACAATTGTAATTTGTATTGTTATTTGTTCTATAGGTTATGAATGATGGAACTATGGTTTAGTTGTTAAGGTTATTATATGTCTAAGAAAAGTTTGTAAACTTTTACATGTGACCATTCGAACAATTTTTCATAAATCAGGCACTTTGTAGCTCTACATATTTAATTAAAATGTGAATTTAACAACTCTTTTGAAGATGCTCTTAAATACATTGTATAAACTGAGATGACCACTTACTACAACTTGTCTTTAAGCGGCAAAATTACTGCTAAAAAACGGCTCAAATACATCGTAGGTTGTACATAGCAACGAATTTAACTAAAAATATTTGAATAAATCAAGTTTTGAACTTTTGACATGTATCATTCTTCTCCATTAACGTGGATGCTATTCAAAGTCATGAGATTACTTTTCCAAATATAAAGTTTTCAGATTCCTTTTTTGGGTTTTTCATTCGTCAATATCTTGTGTATTCCTTTTTCAAGAAAATAAACAAAGGTTTTTGACATTCATCATTCTTCTCCCCCACCCCCCACCCGCCCAAAACAAACATGAACAACATGCTCCTGTTCAAACTTCGAAATCGTGTGTACATATATAATCATCATATGGTGATTCAGTAGTTTGAAAACAAATTTCAGATACATATTTTACACGTGTATATCTTGTGTTCGATTCCTAAAACTAATTATAATTATATTTTTACTAAAAATTGATTTCAAAACATTTTCGTTAGTAGCTTTTACGTCATTTAAAGACACTTCCTATACGGCTGAAATGTGAACGATGAAGCCTTCAAGAAATAGAATTCAAAGTCTTCATATAAAAAACCCTTCGACATAAAGAAAAAGTCTCCGCTAAACCCACTTGATCATATTTTGTACAGCTTCTAGGTGGGACTGGGACCCGGTACTTGTACGGACAATACAAAATGTCATTATGCAGATTCCATGACACTCAATACAGGTCCCATCTCGTTCATTTTGAGGATTTATAAAGACCAAATGTA